CATTTCATATCCATCGGCCTTCTATTATCTAGTTTCACATGCACATGCCTTCCATTGCACAATTATTCATTTCGCATCCACATGCCTTCCCTTTTACATTCTGTGACCTTCCATTTCCTATCCATCGGCCTTCCATTCTCTAGTTTCACATCCACATGCCTTCCATTGCACAATTATTCATTTTGCATCCCTATGCCTTCTATTTCACATTCTTTGGCCTTCCATTTCATTTCCATCGGCTTTCCATTCTTTAATATCACATCCAACGGACTTCCATACTCTAATTTCACATCCAACTGACTTTCATTCTCTACATTCTACATTTCACATCCAGCGGACTTCCATTGCACAATTCTTCATTTCACATCCAACGGATTACTTTTGCACGATCCCAGAAGCTTTCCGTTTATGTAGTTCATTGAGTCTGTGAGTGCATAAAATAATGTATGTGAGTGAGACGGCGAATGACCACAATTTATACGAACGGTATGATATACGAAAGGATACACGGCATACCTGTAAATCACAAGCCCTTCTCTCTTTCTTCTCAATCGACAATTCTGAGAGTGGTGGAAAGATAAAAAGCGACGAGTAGAGTATAAGGCCATGATTATAAATAATGGCATTCGCATTATTGTTACATTCTTTCGACAGATGTTGAGTACTACATACCTAGGTACATCGTACCCACGTGCCACACCATGCCGGCTTAACAGTGGCATATCGTATCTCATGCGAAAATGACAAATATTTCCCAACTGCATGTCTCATTGATATATTTGTATATATATTATGTTTTTTTTAAAGCGTATCGGTTTGTATTGTACGGTAGGTAAGTTTAGAAAAACTATTACTACTTCGTCACTCTGTTACTTTGTCCGTAGGTATGACAATGAAAGCGTTTGTATATTTAACCCTAAAACCCATGGTCGCAAGGGTAAGCGTCATATGTAAGGGACGCAGCGTAAGTGTCAAACTTAGTGGTCGCAAGTTTCAGGCGCAATTTTAACGCGTCAGACTTGAGTGCAAAAGTTAGACTTAGTGGTCGCAGTCTTAACTGATCTCTAAATCTTTATGTTTGTTTTCGTTTGAAGGTTCATACAAAACATACTTTTCTTTATTTTTAAAAAATACACAAGGAAGATATTTATGAAAGGAAGCGGTGTTTGGCCGCTGGCGTCTTCAAATACATAATGAATTGTATTCTGCAGTTTTCATAATAGAAATTAAATTGGTACAGTGCCGTTCGCCATAGCTTTCGAAATAGGACATAGAAGACTATGACCCCGCTTTGAAACAACCACAAACTAAAACGTCGCTTCCAGACATTTTAGATGTCACTTTCAAATGCTTTGCTATGTTGATCTAATACGTGATTTTATTCCTGATACAATTTGTGTTGTTCGAGGGACTTTAGTGGCGATATACAAAGCCAACTCTCTAACTTACGCATGTGATTGTTCTGAGCAACTATGCGATCAAGGATAAGAGATATAAACAATGCATGAATATGTGCAAGTCATTTTGACTTTATTGGACTGTGTAACACTGCCAAAAAAGTGAAATAGGACTACTTCAAACTATCCGAGTTTGTTGTAGAAACTATGCATTCTGGAACTAAATGGAAAGAGGCTGCTAACGTAGTAAGTTCACTTGTATACCAACACCAGCTTGGGTGTGGTGTCTAAATTATTTTCGGATGGATACCGGAATGTCGATTCTGACATAGCCAAGAGTAATTACGAAATGTCTCTCCTATACCGAACAAAGACGAAAACGTAATGCATAGTACATTTCCATAACTTCACAGGGGACATTGTTTACGCGATGTTCGCCCATAGGGATATCCCGGTAACTACAATGCCGAAGACCGCAAAAGGGATGCATACAATTCGCATCCAAGTCCAGCCGTCTTCCTCGTAGGCCTTGTAGTAGAGCACTGCCGGTAACGTAAAACTAAGGTTACTGCTCAATGCTCCACTTACGGACATCAGTGAGTTCAACGACAGCTCTAAATAGGCAATGACCAAGACCTGCACAAGTGTAAATTAGTAGCAATTCAGTCGGAAGCTGCGGGAAGAGATAGACGCTGGTAACTTGAACGGCTGGCAAACATGTGTTGTGAATGTAAACCTCGTGTGAAGGATATAGAGGCGTGCTTTCTCATTAAGGAAATGGCAGAGTTTTTTTTGATACAAAATAACTAAATATGAAACAGGGGCAGAAGGTATTTACAAGACACCGAGACTACGGACTATCAGTGATAGACATGAGCGGTGCATGCACCGTGTTTTCTAGTGGTTTGTGTGAAAGGATGTATGGCAAGAAAATCCGGTTTGGCTGATTTAAAAACAATATAATATAATGGCGTAGTGTGTTAATCGTAAAAGAAATTGTAAGGAGCGCCCTTGAAACCCCTCGCAGCGAATACGGTAATTAAAACTATTGACTTTAAATAGAGGAATGCCATAAGCAAACGCCTTGAAAAAACATATACACAATTTGACCTTCAAATTATGCTTTTACAATGATCGTCGTTGCACGGATCTAGAGCTGATTAGGTACATATTCATCGACACCATTTTCTCACTCAAACAACTTACCAATAAATTCAGCAGCACCGCAAAAATGTAGAATACGATGTTACCCGTCTTGGTAGTGTTATCTGCAATATCGTTGGCCAAATCCACTTTCCCCGTGTACTTAACAAGAGTCGAAATACCATGCAAGAAGCCGTCTCTCGACGAATGCATCAACAGCGGATACGATACCGTGACCACAAAAGCCATACCGAATCGCGCCAGTGAAGCGACTACCGATATGGGGTAGGAATCTAGGATATTCTCGGCTACATGCGTGCCGTATGTGAAGTAACCACAAAGAGATATGGTAGCATACAAAACGGAGCAGACACACATTGCGATAGCTGACGACAACGTCATGTTATGCTTGGATTGGGTCTCTAACGCGTTATATATGTTGAACATTGTCGGAGCGCAGCAAAACGATAAGACAAAGACCGGAAAGGCCTTCATGAAATCAAAAAAGCCGCCATCGAACATTTTAGGTTCCGTGTAACATTCCTCGGCAGGAATGCCTTCGCATGGATCGAATATACCTACACAGTAAGCAAACACAACAAACACTGTGTAGCCGACTACGCCAACGGCCACCACCGATATGTGGCCCAAGTAGTAGGTGGATTTAAGCAGAGATAAGCCAGCCCCAATCGCCCAGCATATGAGCAACCAGAACCACTTCTGGACGTAAAAGGAGTCCTCGTCCTCGTGATCACCTGTGACAGTTCGCACAACGTCCGGAAGCACTTGCATAGCTACCGTCATAAACCTGAAGAAAAAAAACCGTATACCAGTGAGAATTCGAAATAGTATTATTCGGGTTAATGGAACAACTATACTATGTGTTAAAGTATACAACCACCTTGAGGCCACCACGTTCCACTGATGTAAAGGACAACAGCAGGTGGAAGAGGCAACGAAGTACTGAATACAAAGCTGTATCTCGTACGGTATTGGCAAAGTTAGGCAAATCCCTCCGTCTGCACATGTACGTATATTACCGCAAAACATTATGTTTTATCCGTTGGTGTGAATGAAATTTGCAAAGCTGTGTGGCCAATGGATATGTGTTTCTTTTAGCGATGCTTATGCATATTTACGCAGTCCCGCCCAGAAAGTCACTTACATTGTGCAAATCAAGAAGAACGGCAGAAAGGCGAGGAAATCTGTGATCAATACGAGCCACGGATACGTCTCTTGAGTGACTGCACCGAAAGACGTTTGACGTCCTCCGTGCTTATCCGCAATATACCCTATGAGCACTAACCCACACCACGTGAGGAACGAGCCCAATAGCAGTATACATACGGCCGACAACCACCCCACCTGTGCAGTCGAGTAAGGAAGCGAAAGACAACCTGCCGGTCCGTGAATCGCATGTTAAAATCAACCGAAAAAGGAAGTACATTGTTGATGTAAAAGCACTTGAAAAGTATTTCTATGCAAGTTGGTATGAAAATGGACAAAAACAAGTGTGGTGTGGCCTAATCGGCCAGAGTTCTGGGATTGTCCTCAGCCGGAAGACTAAAGTCCTATATATAACACGTGGTTTAGACGACGGACCAATTAAGTATAAGCGTTTGTGCATATGCACTGTGCGTGTGCAGCGCCACAAGCCGATATGCACTCTACATAGACAGTATCTGCGTACTGTAACTGTGGTAGCTGTGGACGTTTGTGTAGATTTGATGCGTATACCATGGTCAGTGCAGTCCAAGTGAAAGTACTCAGCTTTTAACTATAATGACACAGTCGAAGATATATGTAAGAAATACCATCATAGGGTAGTCTGCACAAGCACGTAAACTGTCATATGCATAAAACCACATGTATGCAATATCCTTGAGAGTAGGTCAGGCAATCGAGTGCAGGGCAAGTGCTCGACCGAGATTCAACAGCTCAGTTTTTTATGTCCGCATCCATACTCTTTTCGCACAATGGTATGATATTCAGTAGAACAGACACGACGTGAATAATATATGCTGTGAATCCTGAAGATATGCATCTAAATTACATGTACATGGGAGGATATATAGAGATGCGAATAGAAGACGCAACACAAACATAGTCCCGTCCCCTCACTATAATAGAGGTTGGAAGATGAACATTCCAGGTCAGTGCCACTCAAAATACTGTTGTAAGCTGGAAGAAACCGTACAAGGGTATTGACCGCGATCCCAATGGTGTAGAGGTGTGACTGACAGAAACATAGAACAATGAGTAATTCGCACTTACCCCTATTGGAAGAGTACTTATTTTCATTTGAACACCAGCACAAACGTGCAATATTTTAATCTAATCAGTCATGAATCTGCAGATATCGAGAAAAAAAATCATTTTCAGATATACAAGCTGATAATGATAAATATGAGTGTACATATACGTTTATTTTTATACACACAATTCGAGTCTGACAAACACAAATGTCATCACTTTGTTTAGATCAAATACACATTGAAATCTACAAAACGTATGCACAAGAGCCAAAACTCGAATATTTCTTAACCGAAGGCAATCGCCTAGTGTCTCCTACAATGACTGTGTAAACATATAAACATGCTTTAAAGGTACCAAAACAAGGATAACAGCTCGATATCATACGTATTTGAATGCGAAACATGCGAGCACATGAGCCACTAAATTGTATATAAATCAATAATAGCCAATGTACAGTATGTATTTGCATGTCCATATGTTTTTTTGGGTATATCTGGAAACATCTTTACATCTTTACATATGCATATAATATATATATATATATATAAATTGTTTCATAGTATATTTATAAATGTATTTACACACACGCACACACACACATATATATATATATATATTATATAATGTTTCATAGTATATTTATAAAATGTATTTAC